GTTTAAGACTGTCTTACAAATACACTATAAAATTAAAGAAAAATAAATATGAGACTAAAAAGTTTAGTACAGTAATACAATTTTAGATTTTATTTAATAATTTTTCTTTTATACATTTGTCATTTTATGTTAGTGAAAATACTTTTTTTTTGTTTATTAGCGGGTCCATTAGCCCTGGCCAGAGACATCCTGTCTCAAGATGATGATCCTTTCTTTGTACTAAATAGTGACATCATTTGTGACTTTCCATTCAAAGACATGCTTCTGTTTCACAGACATCATGGAAGAGAAGGAACCATTGTGGTGAGTGCATTTTTTAAAAATCTTTTTATCAGGAAAAGAAGACAAATGAGTTTCTATTTTTTCAAGTCAACACTCTTGCTGGCAAAGGAGGAATTCACTCCTCAATACTGTGAAGAGAAGATATATATATATAGTTCGTCCATCGTGGTTCGATGATGACCACTTTGTCATGCAGGGGGCTGAGGGCTTTGCACTGGGGTTTTATGCCTCCTCATGTGGCTGGTGAGACCTATGTGAGCCCGGAATGTTCGGCCGCACACTGGGCAGGTTATTCCAGCTGGAGCTAGTGTCGTTTGCCTTGCTTTTCTTCTCTGGCGTTTTTCTTCTGCCAGCGTTGTTCTTTTTTCCTCAGAAAAGAGGAAGAGAAGATTGCTGGGCTAGCTCAGTCATATTGTAAGATATGACTTACTGTCGAAAGCCATCTTTCAAGGTACATAGGTGAAAGATGGTCGTCAGGAGATGAAAAGGGTCGCCCAAAGAAAAGCTGGCTGGACAACATAAAAGAATGGACCGGCCTCTCTCTTGATATCCTGCTAAGAACAGCTGCTGACCGAAAAAAATGGAAGTCCTTGGTTGTGCAAACTGTGACAGACTGAGATGGTACCTGGGTTGCTTTCATTTGTAATATTTTTGACCTGCAACATTTCCTGTTAATAATTTGCTGTAATTGTAATTTAATGTGACAAACATTTCTTACCTAATTGATTTCATTCAAGGTATGAAGCAAATATAAAACACTTGCATTGATTTTAGAACAACCAATATCCTTTTGAAACTGTTTAATTTGTCTCATAAGGTCTTTGTTCAAGTCTTATGTATGCTATAATAAAATGACTGCTTTGAAGTGGTATCAGTTTGCTACATGCTATTTCTTACAGGGATGTCTGTATGAATATCCATGGGGGAGAAAGCAACCTTTTTTTCTCCCTTGAAAAACTTCCTGTAGGATGTGTGGCTGAGAATCTAAGTAGGCTTGAGCTTGGCTTGACTATCTATCAAGGGGGCTCGAGATTCGACCCCCTGACTTGAGCAAGTTGTGTTTACTGAGCGCCTTAAGGCAGCAGATACCCCTGCCCCCACCGGTCCACAAATGAGGTTGGACCATAGAGCTCTGAGCATGCTACAATTATAAAAGTAGCCGCTATATAAAAGCTATTTTTAAAAAAAAACGTTAAAGTGGAAAATAGAAAATATAGTAACTACTTCTTTTTTTTCTCTTCTTTTTCTATCATCAACTTTTCTCTCCCCTCCTCTTAATATTTCTTTCTTTGTTTTTTTTCCACCCCCTTACACAGCTAGCATGATGTTCTAACAGCGTATCTTTTTCAGAGCAGGGAGTCATAGTAAATAGACATAGTTTCAACCTATAAAATAACAAATCATGATATATTTTCTTTCAGGTGACTAAAGTAGATGAGCCTTCAAAATATGGTGTTGTCATCTACAACCCTGAAGATGGTCAAATCCAAAAATTTGTGGAGAAGCCCCAAGAGTATGTCTCTAACAAAATCAATGCTGGCATGTATATATTTAGCCCAAGTATGCTGAAAAGAATCAAGGTTAGTGCCTGTTTGTTATCATGTTTCTACTAAAAACACTGCCAGACCAAAACCTTTGTGATCATCAAATAAATTCAATTCAGAACTGACCAATTCTGTTCTGAGTATTTTTGTTTTCTTTTTCAAAATTTCCACTATTTCCCTTTTTTTTTTTTTAAGTTTTCATATTTTAAATCTTTCATTGTTAACAATAGTTTCAATATAACACTATAAATTATAAAGTTACTTTTTGTTTTTACCTTAGCTTCAACCAACATCAATTGAAAAAGAAGTTTTCCCACAGATGGCAGAAGATAAAAATTTGTATGCGATGGAGCTTCAAGGTAAATATTTCACTTGGACAACATATACATGCCAGTCTCCATATGAGTTGTTTAAAAAGGACATTGGTGGGTTTTTCAACCTGAAGAGAAGACTTGACTATCATTTTTTTAATTAAAGGGACATGAGATTTTGCTCATCTTGGAAAGAAGGAAGAGTTCCTCATTAGCTTTGTAACTGCACAAGAGTTGCAAATATTAATAGTAATATCTTTATTATCCTTGAGGAAGTTTGTATTACATGTTGCATTACACATAACATAAATGTTTGTATGGGGTTAGCAGGGGTTAGCACCTCTAGTGGACAGAATTGGTTCACTCTTGGTCTCCAACTCTCACCTGTGGCTTCTAGTAGCTAGAACATGTGCAGCAGCCTCGACTCTGTAAGCAGCTTTATTAGCCAGCTAAACCAGGAAGAGGATATCTGACCTGTTCATTCAGTAGTGTGGTTCTGTCAAACCTAGCATTTGAAGTCTGGACTTGGTGGCCTGTGCTAAACATCACCATAACTATACAAATCGAACAGAAAAATTTCTACTACTTCCACAACACCTTGACCTTTTATGATAAATTATGAGATTAAAGCCTTAACAAATCAATGACTAAGAACAAATATTTAATTGAGAATGAAATGACCGGGAATAAAGTGACCAAAGATGAAATGACAGGGAGCCAACAAAACATTACAATGATTGTAGAAAGTAGATTCATACCACAGTTTCATCCCATGTGAAGTTCACATTAGACAGTTGGATTTTAATCAATGATTCGAACGCTAAATGAATAAAAGAGGTATTGTGTCTTTTTTTTTTGTGTGATTGGTGACTTGTATATCTGGATAAAATGTTAACTTTATTTTAAGTGTAGCAATCATGATTTTTTAATTATGATGACAAGGTTTCTGGATGGATGTTGGACAGCCTAAAGATTTCCTGACTGGTATGTGCATGTATTTATCTTCACTGAAAGTTAAACAGCCAGAAAAACTTCATCAAGGACCAGGCATTGTTGGCAATGTACTTATAGTAAGTTCTTTTTTTTTAAGGGTTCTATGTTTCTATAATAATTGAATAGTTATTGAATAAGTTAATTAAAACTTAATAATTGTTTGGTTATTTACTATTAACTATAGGGTGTAAATTATATATATATTTCAAACAAAAATTGCCCAAAATTATGATTGAACATCAGTATGAACAATATAAAGCCTGTTTTTATTGGTTTCCAAGTTTCATTGATAAGTTTAAAAGAACTAGTTTGATACTAATGCAGGATTATAAATAATTTAAAGCTCTAATACTGGAACTACTTTTTCTATAGGATCCATCAGCTAAAATTGGCAACAACTGTCGAATAGGTCCCAACGTGACCATAGGCCCTAATGTTGTCATAGAGGACGGAGTGTGTATCAAAAGATGCACAGTGCTCAAGGAGGCACACATCAAATCTCATTCTTGGCTGGAGTCTTGTATCATCGGCTGGAAGTGTGTTGTGGGAAACTGGGTATGTTTTACATCTTCTATAAATAGTGTTGCGTCTCTCCTATTCTTTGTTCACTCCTATATATGCAAAACAGCTAACAATCATCTTCAATCAACTTAACAACTTCAATTCAAAGTGCAGATACCCTTTAACTCTTTCTCTCCTAATTGACGATACCATCGTTCATTTGAACTCATTAAATAAAATAATTTTTTAGTTTTATAAACTTGACTGTGTGTGATATAAAAAGAGCATGCATTTCCTTTTAATTCTTGACCAAATACAAGATTTTCTGATAACAAACAACAAAGCTATTGAAGATTAATAATAACAGGGTAGTGAAATAGTAATGAGAAAAACGAATTCCTTTGAAACATGGAATAATAATTACGGAGAGAAAGAGTTAATTGTACTAGATAACAAATTAACACTGGTCTAACAAACCAAATAGTTCTAATTGAAATTTTGAGACAAAAATTTAAAATTTGCTTCCATGTCCAGAAAGTTTTTAAATATCAATTTTCAAATTATTAGCCGTTAGCTAGAAATTCTGATTCTTTCAGAATTTAAAAGAAAAAATATTTGTACTAAATCCATTTTTCACTCTTAATTGCAGGTAAGAATGGAGAATGTCTCTGTACTGGGAGAGGATGTGATTGTAAAGGATGAGATTTACATTAATGGGGGCAGAATCCTTCCGCATAAATCTATAGCAGAATCTGTGCCTGACCCACAAATTATCATGTGATCCAGCCATTAGGAATCTTTGTTGTTATGTGTTGATATTTTGGTCTACCCAAGTCTGCTGCAGCAAACATCAAGCATATTTGGTTAAGTGCTTTACAAACTTAGAACACGTCATGCATTATTTGTATTAAATGATTGTTTAGTTGCCATTGTCAAAAGACATGAGCTTCATCAGATGTACATTAATAATTCAATAATGGAACTGAATACTGGGAGCACTTGTTGAAATGTTTTTTTTAGGTGTGTTTTATGGACTGATATTGCAAAGTAATTTTTTTTAATCCATGGGCTCATTTGATTTGATTTATAACTTTTTTTTTTTACATACAATATAGAATCTCTGTATGTTTATACGAGCTAAGAAATAAACAAATGAACATAAACCAGGGTCTGAAAATTGCATTGATTGTAATCACTCATGAGATCACTATTTTGAATGTATTTATCAAACATAAATTAAAATCCACTATTCACCTTCAACAAACTAGCTCTACAAATAAATTGTTTTGGTTTCATTGGAATCAGTACATTGGTACAGATGAACAAGTTTTGTTATTTCATCTTGATTAGGTTTCTAAGTGTTATTTTGCTTTATTTTTTTTAAACAAACATGCTTCATGGGAAGTGTATGAATGGGTTTTAAATAGGAAGATTTTAGTGCCAACTGCTGAGTTTTTCTTTTGTTTTATCATTTGCTCAATTACTAGTGTACACTATAGAATTAATGAAAGTGTATTAAAACTGTTTGCATTAAATAATCATGTGACTTCTGAATATCATGTGACATTCCATAGCTAATGGTGTGTATTTTGTAATGATACGTTGGTTCAAACTACTTAGTCTATATATTTCTAACTATGCCATTTTGTTGCTGTAAAACTTTTGTCTTCATCAATGTCCCCTTCAGACTGTGGAGTGACTGATGTTGCAATAGAACTGTTCACTAACTTACCCACAAATCGCTGTAGTGTGAGTGATGTTGTTGTATAACTTTTATCTTCATCAATTTACCCACAAATCTCTATAGTGAAAGTATTGAGTGATGTAGAGTTGTTTCTCTGTGGCCAAAAATTCTTATTAGAATATGTAGCCAGCACAACACCTTTATTTTCTTTATTTTGAAGTGAGTTGACTTCGACTCAACCATGTATTTAAACTGAGTAACAATGTCTGTTTCTATCAGCATTTAGTTGTGAAAACCATTAACCACCTCAGTGATTCACATATTGTTCCACATTTAACTAAATGAATGAATTGTATGATATACTGCTAACACAAAGAGAAGAATCAATCAGAAATATGAATACATCTGTAAGATGTCAATAATAACATACTTGCTCTAATAAAAAGGATTCTGGTTGGCTCAATGTGTCAGGCTTAAAAGCTGTGGACTGTTAAAACAATAAGAACCCTAACACTTACCATTGACAATTATAACTAATATAACACATCAACTGAATTTAATATACACTGCCTTCGCCTTTATGTTTTTTTACTCTCACATAACTGGTTAACTTGTTCACTAACAATTGTTTTCTCTAGTAAGTACTAGTAGAATTACCAGGGGACCTAACTAATCTAAAACATTTGTATGAAGCCAGTAGCTTATACTGTATTCTGGTTACCCATTTTGCTGTGCACTATTTCATTTTTACATTTATTTATCATATCATGGTGTTATATATTTATTTGTGACATTTTCATTTATTTTCAAAATCCTTATTTTTACTTCAGTTATATTTATATCTATATGTTACATTTTTCACTGGCTTTTTTTTAATAATGAAGAATCAATTCACCATCAATTCATACATGTGACTTTAAGAGATCTACTCTATGTTGAACATTACATTAGAATTACAAAAAGAGTTCTAAGCTTGATGTGGAAGCCTAACTTGGAACTTTTGTTATTAGGTATTTGTTGATGCATTTTATAAAAACACTGAAGTATTTGAACCATGACCTTCATATTGCATGGAATCTTCAGGTCTACATATTGAAATATCTTTAATTAATATATCTGTGGGTGATATTTGCTCATTAAATTGTGAAATGGTTTTTATATAAAACAATTTGTTGTTCCATTTATTAACTGCAACCTGATGCAGGACATGATTCAGAAGTGACATAACAAAATCAGATGAATACTTAGAAGGATTTATTGACCTAGTTATATATATTCACATAAACATGTTTTAAAATCAGCATAGAATCAAGAAAAGTCTTGCTCAAAACTGTAATCTGATGCACCAAGTCCTCCAAAGGCAGATTCTAAAGCACTGGACAATGTCCCAGCAACTGCATCTAGAACAATAAAATTGACCATAGGTAAACATTTGTAATCAATACCCTCCCCCCCCATAACAAAGTTAATTTACACTTTTTCACTTCTTTATTAGTACTGGTATAACATGTATTGCTGATGGCGGGTTTATGTCTTAGATCACCAGAAAAAGGACAGACTGTGAAGGTGACATAAAAATGACCGTAATTTTAAAGTGCGGTCTATATAATAAATAACATAGTAGATCATTAGCTTAGAACCTTCATCATGGTGTTAACATTTGGATAGAGAGACTGATTCTTCAGCATTCAAGCTAAGGAGTCATACAAGAGCAGCAAATGATAGTGGCAAAGAAATTAGTATTATTACAAACTTTGATGCATCCATGAAGGACTTCAGTGTGACCAAGCTATTTCTTTCAATTGAGGTCTGTTGTGGTATATGAACTAGTTCCTCATTGACCTTATTCATAACCTATTTAAGATTTATTAATACAAGTGAACTATCTATGGCATCCTTCAGTCGCAACGCAAGTATGGATCATCTCATGGAAATGAGATGAATCAGTTCCTCCCTCTCCACACACTCCACAATGGAATGGCAGTGCCGATACAATTTGGGGTGAGCGGTGTTGCAGGTTCTGCCAGGATGTAGCACCGGGTGCTGTAAAAATGCCTTTAAGGGTCGCAAGTTCCTGATTTTTCCTCAGGATTTACTCCCAAAGCCTTTCATTTGATTGGGAATAGCTGCAAGGCAACAGAGGTTTGAATTCAGAGTTTTCCTTCTTCTAGGTGGGTAGCCAGCCATGGCAAACGAGCCCCTCATGCACAAAGCTTGCAGGTTAAGGCGCCAGTTACTCCCCATTGCCCCTTCTCCTGTTAGTGAGAACAGTTCTGCCAGACTTAATATCTGAGCCACACGTGAAGGCCAGGAGTTGGACTGGTTGTCACGGGCTATTTGAGACGCATGCCATTAGGTTGCATTTTATAGTTAGTAAAGTGCTTACATTCATTACCACTTCCGGCAAGTGAACTATATGGCCATTATATATCCATATATATTTCCTATATGAATGATTAATGTCTACATACCTGCTTTCTTCTTCTTCTTTTTCTCTCTCTTTTCTGCCAACTTTTTACCCTTCTTAGTTGTAAGCCCACCAAACCTTTCTAACTGTCTCTTGGGAGGAGGTCCTCTGGGCCGTACTTTGTCATTGGTTAGGGTTGCCTGCTCTTTGCCTTTTTTATTTTTACTCTCTCCAGCAGTCACTGTGACACCTTTCAGCTGGGGACAAAAAAAAAAAAGGAATATAAATGTTTGTAAAAATTAATTCTTATTTAAAATCAAATTGGATCATATCAGATTGGATCAAATAGGGTTGGATCTGATTAGGATCACATATGATTGGATACAGGTTGAAGCCAATTAGATGTGATCCTATTGAATGGTCATTGAAGAACCATTATGGGAATAAAACTCAGGACATCCACATTATTAACTAAACACTTTACAGTTTCCAGAATTTTCAGACTTCCACCCATTTTTGTCCAGAACCTATGAAGAGCATGTAAGGTAACAGATTTAGGATGGCATTCTATCTATTTTGAAAAAAAAAATAGAAGAGAAATTAACAATTAAAGATAAAAGTGGGTACTGTGTGTGAATAAATAGTGTTTTATTACTGACATGATGTTTCAAAGAACTACCTCTGTCTGGTCATCCTCCTCCTCCATTTCCTCTTCATCTCCAGAAACATCTTCATCTGACATCTCATCATTATTATCTTCTTTTTCTTCTACCAAGTCCTCTTCCCTGATGACAGCTTTCAGAGGACCAACAGATGCTATCTGCATACAATGTTCTTTTGTTCCTAGACCTGTGCAAAATAGTTAATTTAGAACTTAATTATTTTTTTATGTAATTAATTTTTAGAGTCTTAATATATTTTTAAAAGCCATAAACCATTTTGTAAACCAAATATTGATGTCATCAGTGGCTTAAAATCCCCCCCCCCCCCCACCCCTGAGGAGTCCAAGTAGGGAAAAAAGTTATGAATGGCAAGAACCTAACAGTTCTAAGACTAACCAAGTTTTGGGAAGCCAATATTGTGACTAGTGAAATTTGCCCTTGTGGAGCGTCACTAAAGAATGGCAACCAATGTCCTTCAAAGCTGCATATTCTATCATCATCTGTACCAACCAACATAAAAAACGAGAACAAAGAAGCGTGGTCGAGAGGCCAAGTGCGCTTGAACTTGGCTACCTAGAAGGGGGCTCGAGGTTCGACACCCAACTCGGGCACAGTTGTGTTTACTGAGCGCCTAATGGCAGCACGGAAAACCAACTCCTAGATACCCCCTCCCCCCACTGGTCCACAAAAGAGATTGAACCAAAAGCGCTCTGAGCATGCTTTAAGCAAGAAAGTAGCGCTATATAAAAGCTATAATAATATAATAATAATAGTTCTAAAAGCTAGTTTATTTATAGACTAAAGTAGATTTTAATTATATTACTCATGGAACTAATACTACAGTTAGCCAATGAGCATGAAGAAAAAGAAACAAAATAGTTTGACCAAAATCATTTTCATTCCAACTATATAATATAGTCTCAATCATGGATCACCAGCATGAATAAAAAATCTCCTTTTCTCTGAGTCATTCACCAACCATTCTTATATTTCAAATATATATTTGTTCTGCAAGGTTTTTGCCTAGAAAATATTACCAACCCACAAGCCCTTACAGTATATTGTTAAAACTGTGCATTAAAGTGTAAAGCTACCAACCGCTGAGCATTTTGGACTCATCTGCTAGAAGGTCATCAATGTTGAACTCTTTGCCCCATTCTGTAACAATCTTTGCCTCTATGTGACTGGCTGTTTCATTGGTTGCTTCTGGTGGTACAGTGTAGTAAGTGATCTTCCCACTGAACAGAAGACAATCAAATTATAAGGAATCATAGATCGTTACAGTCAAGAGTAACCTATTACAAAACTTATTAGACAAGATAACTACAAAAAAAAACAGGGTGTTAGGTGTTGATTATTACAGAATGGAAATGTAATGATCTAAATGTGTACAGCCACGAAACCGTGCCCCTTACAAGATACACATAAGATAATTATCTTTCAAAACCAGGGAAAAGAAGAAAAGGTAGACAGAGAAATCAACGGGAAATAACCTAAAGGAATAAAATGTTGTAAAATGTTTGACATGTTTCGGATGTTCCTTCAGAGTTGAAGATAGTTTACTTCCTAGCCCAAACCTCCCGCAGGACGACGGGGGGATGGGAGCGGGCAGGGTTTGAACCCTCGACCGTCGATAAATCTGAACGACAGTCCAGCGCGCAAACCGCACGACCAGGCAGGACTATCATTGAAAGAGTCTAGTCAAGGTGAAATGATGTGTTGTGCCCAACAGACTAAGGGATAAGTAATGTGACATTAAAACCTGCTACTTTTTTGAGTCAAGGATCCCAGCTACAAAGCTAGGATTGCTATGTAGTTTATGATCTAACTAATGTAGTCATGTGAGACACTGTACTCATCCTTACACTTTGGTTTCTTAAAGTTATAATGTTTTTTGTTTGGTGTAATGCACAAATTGTAAGACAAATTTCCATACGGACAATAAAGATTATTATTATTATTATTTCAATTATTATTATTATTAGTGTTCTAAAGAGAAACCATGTAAAAAGTCTGAAAACAAATCTTGAAGATCTTTGAATGTGAATGTCAATAAGAAAGAATGCAAATATGAAGTGGACAAGCTTCCAGCCCAAATATAGAAGAAAAAAGGAAGGACTGAAAAGAGGGAATAAGTTTTTCAAGGCTCAAATGATTGATGATGTGACATAAGTACCAAATGAGTACAATGACTAGAAATAAAAATGGTTGACTGCTCTCACAAGTTCCAGTCTTGAAGCATGTGTCGAGCTGCCCTGGTGATATCTGGGATACCTCCCTTCCTCAACTTCCCCATCCTTGTAGCCAACAAGTTCAGGAACTCATTCACATCTTTATAGTCTGGGATATTGTAGTGCAACATCATCTGAGAACAAAACTTTCTTTTTTATCATTGCATGCCTAGAAATGTCAACATTTAAAAATGATCTGTAGGAATTCTTTCAAACAAAACAAACTAGTCATTGATATAATGTAAAGAAATCAGCTGTAATACTGTTAAGTGTCTACTAAACTCTAATATACTCTAACCTGCATTTTCTGACACCGAGATAAAATGGCTTCCACACAAGGGATAGGATCATCTAAATCTTCCAGCTACAAGAGAGATACAACAAGTATAAGAAAAATGAAAGGACAAAATGATTTCTTGCTCATTTACATGTAAGAAAAGATAGAAGTATATCTGGCTGTTAATGATTTACAAGCTATGAGCTCAGAAAGGCTTTATCATGTTAAAATATAAACTAAATATTTGGAGAATATGCACACTATTTGCCAACATCATACAATGCTGTAAAAGTCTGAGTTATTAATGTATCAAATTTATATTTGGAACAAAGTCTAGCATTGGGGTTGGAGGTAATGAGATTAGATAAGGTGTTAGCAGGTAAATGCTTGGGTTTGAATTAGGCTGATATTATATTAACACTTATGTCTGAATATATTCCATTTAAATCACATTTAGTAATGTCTAAACATGTTGATTTTTTTTCACATGCTAATTAACAAACCCTTTTGCAATTAGTGTACGTCACAATATATAATTAGAATAGAATGAAATCTATCAACCTACTTTCACAACATTTCTTAAAACAGCAG